AGGTAGCAGAATACAACAATTACTAATTGGGCATTATGTAAAATTGTGGATGTATAAGCGACGTGATTCTGCAATCTTCATTTGGGGTAAAATTGGGAGTTCATAACCCACTTCAATCTAATGTATGAAATATGATATGTCAAGAGCTTTGTAATGTTGTGAACAACCAATAAAAAAAATTAAAAAAAAATAAATAAAATCTTTTCAGTTAAAATTTAAAAAAAAAAAAAGCTTCCCATAAAAATTCCCCTAACTTGATGTGTTATAGAATTAGAAGGGTGTGTGTGTATGTATCAACTGCATACTAATGTTTGCCAAATACTCATTTGAAAGACTTTGATGAATTAATAAGAATTATTATATTGGGGCTGGGGATGTGGCTCAAGCCACAGCACGTTCGACTGGCATGCATGCAGCCTGGGTTCGATCCCCAGCACCACATACAAACAAAGATGTTGTGTCCACTGAAAACTAAAAAATAAATATTAAAATTCTCTATCTTTCTCTCTGTCTTTAAAAAAAAGAATTATTATAATTGACATGCTTATCATTCTTTTTCTTTTTTAGAATTTATTTATTTCAATTAGGTGTATATGATAGCAGAATGCATTTTGATCCATTGTACACAATTGCAGCACAACTTTTCATTTCTCTGTGCACCATGTAGCATCGCATCATATGTGCAGACATACAGGCATACTTATCATTCTCATGCAAAGCTGCTGAATGCTTCGAAACAACCTAAAGCCCAGATTTGAATTTTCCTCATTTATTATTGCTTGAGGCCCAGCAATTGTTTTCATAGTGCTAAAATAATAGTGTTTTGGCCACCATATGTAAAATGGAATATTCCTCACCTGACCCTTCTATTCCCTATCCCTCTTTCCTGCTCTATTTTTATCATTCTCTCTCTCTTCCTATTAGAGTGTTAGCACCATGAGGTCCAGGATTTTGATGTGTTGATTGCTATTTTGTATCCCCTGTGCCTAGAACAGTTTGAGGCAAATGATCAACTCTTTCTTTCCCCATATTTTTTTGTTGGTGCATTATCGTTGTACATAATGAGATTTGTTGTTACATATTCATACATGTACATAACATAACAATATAATTTGGCCAATATCATGCCTCAGTATTTCCAATTTCCTTCCTCTCCTCCCTTCCCCTGGTCCCTTCCTTTTATTCCACTGATCTCCCTTTGAGTTTCATGAGATCCACCCCCTACCCCACTTTTCCTTTTTTCTCTCTAGCTTCCAAATATGAGAGAAAACATACGACCCCCGACCTTCTGAATTTGTCACATTTTGTTTAAAACAATGGTCTCAAATTCTATTCTTAATCCCTTTGTGGCTCTACTGCTTAAGGCTGAATCACTGGAGAAGTAAAACAAACAAACAAACAAACAAAACAAAACAAACAAAAACCCAAACATCCATCCTAGAGTCTGTAGCTTAAATGATTCTTTTTT